GTAATGTCTTCTTTTTACTATCACATCTAAAAAGTATAAATAAGCAATTATAGCATTATAATGTATTATGATTAACATTTATTCAAAAAACTCCCTTTATACTTACCTAACCAAATTCTTTTCTTCTTATTTAATCAAACTTTTTTCATTTTTATCTAAATTTCTCAAAATATCAAAGAATATATTTATTAAAAAATCATAATGTCTAATATATATAATCTAATTGACATTAATGATGAGACTAATTATGAAAATAATAATGTATATGACCTAATTGACATTAATGAAATAATTATGAAAATGAAGATGATCAAAATAATAATATTCAAATATATACTCATCTAGAGTTAAATACATATGAGGAATGGATCAAAAATGATCTTCCTAATATTCATGGAGCTCATTATATTCAGAACAATAGGCGAAAACACCAAAAATATAAGCTAAATGAAACATATCTGTGCCATTGTGCTGGAAAATCTAGAACTATAACAAAAATTATTAATAAATCTATAGAGTCTTTGTCAGTTCATAATAATCCTTGTCTAATTCAAAAGCCATCTAAGAAAGAAGGATGTAAATCCTATTTAAGAGTATTAAAATGCTGTGATAAAGAAGGAAGTTCAGTACATATTGTTCATTATATGCTTCATAATGAACATTCTCCTAGAACTGATGAAGATTTGTAAAATATTCGCTTATCTGAACAAGCAAGAGAATGGATTAGAGAAAGAGCAAAGGATGGGATGAAACCAGCACACATTGTGTCAATGTTTCATCAACATGTCAATAAAATTTGTGATAATGACAGCTTTAATTCCTTACCTCTAACTCAAAAGCAGGATGCATACCTGTCCTATATTGATGTCTATAATATAGTTTGTGAAGAAATAAAAGATGAAATGTTTTTAGGTAATAATAATCAAGGTTATGGTAAAGATATATCTGTTAAAGAATAGATCGCCTCATCTCAAGAAGATGGATCATATACTTGTAGTAATCTAACTTGAAGCTCGGATTTTGGTTTTCTATATAGGTTTCAAACTGAGTTTCAAAGAAATATGTTGAAACATAAAAGTGCCCAAACTGTATATTTAGATGGAACACATGAAACAACTGCACACAAAACAAATCTTTTTACTATACTCATAAGAGATAATAATGGTGGGTAAGGCATTCCTGTAGCACATCTAATCTCAGAAAAAAAAGCTAATGAAACATTAACTTACTAGCTTTTGAATGTAAAAAATAAGAATGAAAGCTGAGAACCTCATACCTTTCTTACAGACTGTGATGATGCGTAGCAAATTGCTATTAGTAATATCTTTCTTAATGCAAGAATTTTGTTTTGCCAGTGACATATAAAGAATGCCTGGTGTTAGACCCAGGACATGTGATCTACAAGTTGCCGATTTAATCATGGATCTTTACTATTTGATCTCAAGTCATGCCCCCAGAGTATGAAGATCTCTTACCATACTTGGGATAACCGCTTAAAATGATTATATTGATTATATTGCTTATATTGATTATAATTATTATAATCAATACAAGCATTATAATCATTATAATTATTATAATAATTATCAGCACCCTAAAAATAAATAGAGAATTAGTTATAAATAACATGTAGTTTCGCCCAAGTAATAAAGTGAATTCCCCTACTTGAGAAATAAATCGAATAAAAGGTTCATCTACGAGTGCCTGTAGAGAACCATTGTTAAAGAATAAACCTAACCTGGAATAGTAGTAAATCCCAACCTGATTGCTAATAATTCCCAATATAGTGTGAAATACTGCACTGTTAGAAGAATTAGAGTAATAGTCTCGACATAGTGTAGACTATCCAGGATAAGCCAGACCTGAATCAAAATTATTCGTCAAATCTACACACCTCTTTTGACCGAAAGCCATCCAAACATTACATGAAGCTGACTTTCGATTAGTGACAGACTTGCTGATTTAAGGCATCTCATTATCAAAAAAATAAAAATAAGATTAAAGGTGACCACTTTAGTGTTTGCAATGATGGAATTTATAAAAAAACAAAAAAACAAGTCGCACAGAAAGCTGCTTTAGATGAGCTTAGTAATATAATGCGACTTCATGATACTTCGCAAGTACAACATAAGTTAAATGATTATTTTTCTCAGTAGACTAAATTTAATGAATTATCCTGAGTTGAATATATAAAAAGTGAATATTATAAAAATTATGAAAAGTGGATTGATGTTTACAGATTATATGAACACCAAAAAATGAATATGACGAATTTTATTCAATCATGGCATAAAAAACTTAAATATACTTATCTAGGTGTTAAGCAAAATCATAGAATTGACATTCTGATTTGAAATTTAAAAGCTACTTTAACAGATGTAGAGTTTGAATGTAAAGCTGTTAATTTAATGATTGGAAGAATGAAATCTCATCAAAAAGAACAAAAGTGTTGAGAACTTGCAGGATTAGATTTGGATAGTTTTGCGATGCCTGATGGATGATGTTTTCTTGTAAAATCATCTACAAATAATAATGATAATTATGAAATTAATATTAAAAACAATATACAAGAAAATATTAACATTAAGCCAACTTATTTAGAATGCACATACCCAGATTTTAGATTTCATAGCATAGCATGCAAACATATATTTTCTGTATATCATAAATTCTATCCAACACCTGTTCCAGAAATTTCATTTCTTTAAAAAGTAGAAGAACCCAATTCAGAAAATGTTGTTGATGTTTCTTTCGAAGATTGGATTAGTGCAATCTGAAAGGTTTGGAATCAGCATGACCAGAAAGACTGAAATCAAGTAACTGCAACCGATTTAGAGGCAATTGTAAGTGCAACAATAAAAAGAAAATCAAAAATTGCCTTGTATGATTACTGTTCTATTCCTAGCTCTGGGTTAAGCGGAACTAATTATTCTATTGAAAGACAATGGAAATAATGCTTAATAATGGAATAAAATAATACAAAAAAAGAAAAAAAAATAGAATAAAAATGAATAAAAAAAAAAGACAAATAAAAAAGACTTATTTATCATTATTTACTTAAGACTGTCAAATCGTAGCTTTCTAAAAAAGATAGTGTTATTCCACCGTTCATAAATCTAGCTAATAAAGTATTTGTCTTTGACCAGTATAAAATATAATATAGCGATTTTTAATACATAGTAAAAGTACTTTTTTTTGTTTTTTTTTTTTTATACGTAGTCAATTAATTATACAGTAGCAATATAAATACAAAAACCATGGTACTTACAAAAAGAACGTAATTCGATTTTTCTTTTATTCGCGCTAGAAGAGACTTTACGCTATTTATGGCTTAAATATTAAGTTATATATATTCTTATGATCAATTATGATTGGTCGAATATGCATTCTAAATGTTAAGTTTATGTATATTCTCGTGATCAGGGATGATTGGTCGGGTATGCATAGATCATCATGAAACATTACGTAAGCTGTTGGGTAAATAGATGCACCCCGTATCGAAGTCCGAGTCACGTAATATATAATTTTGATAGAGATAAGATCAAGTTTCGCCTAGTTTCGCCCAGTTTCGGAGGTTTCGCCCAGTTTCGACGTTTCGCCCAGTTTCGGAAGTTTCGCCCAGTTTCGACATTTCGCCCAGTTTCGGACTTGTCACCTTGGGCGAAACTAGGTTTCGGAGGTTTCGGAAGTTTCGCCTGGCCGAAAGTTTCGGTTTAGGCCGTAACACTAGCAGTCGCATTAGCTAACCAAACAAAAGTTTATGTAATAAATATCAAGTTATCTGGAAATTAAATTTCTCTCATACTTGGCGATCAGCGATTAACATTACGAAAAAAAATAAAAACCGCCAAATATCAGGTAAATATGCAAATTAATTTGCACCAGGTTACTAATTTTTGCAACTAATATTCTTGCTTTACTATCATTAGTTATCGCAACTACAACATCACTCACGTTTGCGTAATCAGATTATGCTCTGTAATTACATATCTGAATGCATGTGTATATCCGTTGATGTGTGAAAAATAACTAAAATTTGATTTTGCAAACAAATCCAGACCAGCTAGTCTAAAGACTAAGAGTTTCATGTTTTTGACTGTCTACCATCCCAAAAATTCTTAACAATCATGTTTGTGTTTTATGTTGTTGACTGTTTACCATTCTAAAAATTACTGAAATTACATTATTCTTTCTTTGATCATGATAACTTACACAAATTTCTAGCAATTTACATTAATTGTCTCAATAACTACCATTTACGGCTATTATCATAATTCCTGGAACTCTACATAAAATTGGCTAAATGATATTTTGGCCGATTCACATGAGCAAAATTTTTGATAAGAACGTCATGATTAAAATTAGGTGATAGTGTTTTGTTTATGTGGGGTAAATCATTTAATATTTCTCATCATGAATTTTAGAAGTTTAACTCAAGTAAATTATTAATTGTTTTTTCATGTTGCAGCTTGAGCTTAATGTACATTGCTTTGCGTGCTCGGAATCTCGCAATTTTATAGACTATATATTTTGTTTATTTATTTAGTTTACTGCACTTGTGTTGAATTTATTAGCTTTGGCCGGTTTTCAAATATTCTAAAAAATATGATACATTGTAATTACACATTGGAACAGATTTGAGAATTTACAAAGTTTTATAATTTAACAAATTTGAATCATGAACTAATCCAATTGACCAAATTAAAAATTCAGTTGCTATACTAAGTCTTGAAAAGGTAAAGACAAAATTACTTGCATAATTTATATGATATTATTAATTCTTTTTTATAGATTTTGAAGTACTAAATTTATAAATAGGAAAATCTGTTATGTGATATTTTTATGGTAAATTTTATATTAATAATAAAAAAAACTTAAAATAAAAAAATAGTAAAATTTTTAGCCAGATTAACATCCTAAGCTGAATAAGAGATCGAATGCTTAACCGGCTAGTAATTTTAGCAAGCTGCTCACTAACTGTGTAAAACACCTAAAGCATTTCATGTGACTCTAAGTATAGAAGCTTTTTTGTAATGTCGAACAATAATTAAAATTGCAATACTAAAAATAATAATTGTTAGACCTAGACCCATAGCTAGCCCTATGATTATGTTCGAATTGCTTTGTGAATCATTTGTCCCGTGATTAATGGTTTGTGAATTATTATTCGAATCTATCTGACTAATCAAATTATCTTGACGTGTAAAAATTTCGCTACCATTATTAATACCCCATAAAATGCCATCAATAGAAATTGCAACATATCTGAATGAACCATCTAACTGGTGCCAAGTATTATTAACATATTGAAAGATTTCATTATTATCATTTACGCCGACAATAAGATCTCGGCTGCTGACGTATATTTGTTTGAGCTTGCCACCTACTTGTATCCTATTTGAAATAAAAGTTAAAATTATGAAATTAAAAAGTTTAACACAAAGGAAAATACTAACCAATCGTATCCAGCCCATTTATAAATATCATGGGTGCTACTAACACCCCAAACTGTTCCATCAGAAGCTACCGACACATCAATCAAAGAACCGAAAACTAGAAGTTTCAAAAATATTTAAAAATTGAAGAGACATCAGTTTTATTTAAATTTACTAACCTGGCGTCCATATCAAATTATTAGTATTTATATCACCATTAATTCGAAAATAAATTACGCTTGCATTATTAACTCCCCAAACATGAGTTTTATCGCCAACTAAAAAAGAAAAAAAAATTAATTGTAATTTCAACAAAAAAATATAAAAATAAATAAAACCAATAAGCAATAATTTGCCTGATATTTGGACCAACGAGCCGAAAATTTGTATCCTATAATATATTACAAAGCAAAAACACTGTAAAGCCGTGGATGTGAATATGAAGAGGAGCAATATAGTCAATCATTTACCATGCATAATCAACCCATGTAAAAATTTGATTGAGTCGATTAACAACCCAGACAGTTCCATCGGCTCCAACTCCGACATATGTAGCAGCTCCTTGAACTTGACGCCAAGTTCCGTTTATGTATCGAAATATCTGTAATACATAAAAGTGAATATTGTGCCTGTTCATTATAATTAAGAAAATTTGAAGTAAATTACATTATCTTGTGCGTTCACACCCCATACGTTATTACCACGACCGACGGCCAATTGAGTAAGTAGGCCATCAACTTTTTGCCATCCCATTAGTTCGTTTTGGATAATTATTTTGAAATTGATAATTTTATATCGACAATTGAGGATTTATATAAGTTAAATTGTAACTTGCTATCATTTATAGAAAAAGAAATACATATCAGTGTTGAAACAAGTATTTGCGATTTCTGATTTTACTATAAAATACAAAATTCAAGCACAAAATGATTTTAGCTGCAAATACGATAGGTAGCACAAATCCGGTGTTATGACCTGGTGAGACTTATAATGATGCCTTTTTAATTAAAAACAAAAAAGGATAAAGTACGTAGTAGATGTTTAAAAGTAGACACTATAAGATTTGATTTATTGTAATTAAAGTAAATAGGCTAATTTTTGTTCAACACTATGCTAGATCCATACCTGGTGCCTAATTTTTTTTTGGCTTGCCGAAAATATTTTCTGATGTTATTATTATACATTTGTGTCTAAAATATAGGATAAGTATCATTTCATCAACAATCACTTTACCGAGCACAGCGTAAGGAGTAATATAGAACAATAATTATTAATCATCAAACAATCGTTAAATATTAAACATCGTTCTGTGTGATGGGATGTTCGATGTGATGAAATAGTATCGATTATACACGCGTGCGGCGTACGGATAGACGAAAGTTTTCTAAATTGCCGTTTTGATACAATTTATATAAGATTTATATATAAGCCAGCAAAACTGCATTATGTGAATTAAAGTTGATCAATAAAGATCTATTAGTAAATTTCACATGAAGCACTTTTAATTAGATCGCAGAAAGTGGCATCCTAATTAACATTTAGAATTAACATTTAGAATTACTATTTTTTTTAAAAAAAAAGTAACTTTGAAATTCGATCGTTCAAATATTTGATTAGTCAAACATTAAACGTTCATAGATCAAGTTAGTTGTATATGTTGTAAGTGGAAACGGATTCGGAATTTTTGTATAAAACTAGCATTTCGGGGTTGATTTTATCGTATAAACATCCATACCCCTAATCCTAATTTAACTAGAAAATTCCAAATCCGCTTAAATTCCGTCTCCACTTACAATATATATACGCGCATTAATTTGTATGTATAACTTGTTTGATATATGAGCATTTGATTTCCGATTAATTATAAGAATTTGGATGTCAAAAGGAGTTGGACCTGTAGCTGCAATAAATTATGAGTTTATTTTTTCAGTAACCGAAATAATTTCAGCGGCCGTAATTATTTTCGGCATTAGGCATTTTGAAGAGGCAGTCATAAATACAAAAAAGCCTTAATGCCGTAAACCGACCCGAATTTAGGCACATATGTATAGGGTAAACTAGTACTTAACTAGTCGAAGACCAGACTTTTCACCCATTCCTAGTCAAATAATTTCGATATTTAGGCATATTGAAGCAGGCTACCGAAAGATTACTTAAAATTGATTTTTGTTATACGTCATACAATTAAAATCAATTAAAATTATCATAAATAATTGCAATTAATTACCATTTTCCACATGATTGCGATGAATCATTATACGTGATAAATAAGGATTTACTAATTAATCGTAATGATTGAGTAAAATCAATTATTCGGTAGGTCTGTTTTGAAGCGGAATGCCGAAATATAAAACATGCTGTACATCGACCCGAATTTAGGCACCCATGTATAGTGTTATAGCAAACCCGACCTGGGACCTGAGAAAACCATCACGAAACTATCCCTGAGACGTCCCACGAAAAACCGTCGATGCAGTGACCCAGAGGAGTTGAACGACGATCCCCCTTGCAGTTGTATGCACAAGCCAAGCCCCATCAAACGCTGTAGATCCCATTGACAAGAAGCACTTACCCGATATAGTTTGACATCTGTCAAGGTAATATTACCTTGACAGGAAAAGTATGTGGCCGTGTTCCCAATTATCGTATGACTATTGGAGTGAGAACATTAGTTAGAATGCAAGAAAGAAGCGCTAAATAATTGAAATAATGAGGGCTGTGGAAGTAAGGGGGTAAAGCGTTGATCAAAAAGGTTGAAACAGCTTGAGTCCATGAGAAAATGTGTGTCAAAGCCATAGGGAACGTTTGAATAAATAGACGATAGATTCCCTCTTGTAGTTCAATTAGCACGCAAATCCCGCCCTACATAAAAAAATAAATAAATAAAACTCTTTAAAGCCATTCAAAAAAACGGACTTAAAATTAAAAGAAAAATAATATATAATACGTTCCTTAAAGCCCATCTTTCCCTCTCCGGACGACTGCCTTGAACCTGTGCCAGATGGTTCCGCCTCTTAATATGTTGAGTGACATTACGCATTTCTTCTACTCATTGTGTACGTTCCCGCCCAATTAGCCTCTAACAATAGCTAGACCTCAATAAATGACAAACTTATTTTGGCAGCGCCCATAATAATTTCAAGTAAACTTGAACTAGACTATAATTTATTTTGCTTCAAAAAAGAAACCTACTTATATATAACAATTGAACTTAATCCTCTTAGCATAACCATTAAAATCAACAACGAAACACCAACTATTATGATTATACATTATATGAAAAATACAGTATAATACAATTAAAAAATGACATAATATGAACAAGAAAATGGATTTGAAATAATTAAGTATATTCGGTTTGGACATATCCAGAAATTTGTGTTTTGATTGGTTAATATTTTCAGGTTATCTTATGACTACAGGAAAAGGTTATATAAAACCATACTAAGTTTTTTAATGAAGTTTATTATAAAAATTTTTAAATCAATTATCTTTAGAAAGGGTGACTAACACATTAAATCTGATATATCAAGTACGTTCCTGCTATATAAATAATATTTTCAAACTTGATAGCCTCCCAATACTGAAATCAATTTGTAGAGAAAGAATATTTACAAGCAATAAACATTTTATTTTACCTTTCAAAAAAGGAGTATATATGGCAAGTATCTTGAATACATATATTATTTAAATTTATCGTTATCATTATATGAACTACCAATTAAATTCTCTTTTAGAATTCTTGTCATGAACCACATGAGTAAAGATCTATGCCGATTATGAATCAATGCAGTAACTAAAATGTAATACCAATACGTGTTAAAAAAAAAACTTATTACAATTTATAGATAGAAATTTATACAAAAATTATTTACGTTTTTCCATCAAAATCCCATTTTCTACTGAATAAATAGATATTTGGGCAGGCTTTTGATAACTACGACCTGTTTTAATTACTGTTTCTCCTACAGATAGTAATGTATTGTCATTGTTTAAACACATTTGAAGACGTTGTCTACCATAATACAAATTCCAGTCCAAAATATATCTCATCTCAAATTTCAATTTTGTTAAATCCCATTGCATAATTACAAATGGCAACTCTAAAAGGATTAACAATTTTCCTTTTGGAGAAACATTACATTTATAATATTTGGGAAGTTTGATACTGCGCTTGCATTTCCACTGATGTTTGTTATTGAAATTAAAGATATAAGCACGATAAACTGGATCTCCTTTAATAATTGCCAGATCACCATTTTCAAGAAAAGAAACCTCATTACAATATTCACTATAGTGTCCGTCAAAGAAACCATAATGACCTTCGTCATTTCTTTTACGACATTGTGCATTCAACATTTGTCTTTTCTTAGTAACAATATCAATAATTTCTGTTAATATAATATATAAAACATTAATGAATTAAAAATGCCGAGAATTTAATTATAAACGAAGAGTAGTATAATTTACCAAAATTGTAGAGATTATTTTTTTCAACACTTAAAATAATATGATTTTCATCCGAGATGCCAATTAATGCTTTAGCATCAATAGAATTGTCAATAATATAATGATTGTCAAATTTGAGTTTTTCCTCGGTGATCAACCATCTATAAACTAATTTATCTCGATGGCTCCAAGTTGCAACATACTTCATTTTTGGGGAGCAAACAATATTAGTTATTGACAAGACATGTTGGCCGATTGGTAAGTCTAAAGCCAAAACTTAATTAATATCTTATAACCTTATGCTATTAAGATTAAGCCTTAATCAAGTTGCTTGGCATGGCTAGTAAAGCTAGCATGATAATTATTGTTCATAACTACCATATTTTATCTAATTAATATCTTGCCAAAAATTTTTGTTCTTGCATCCAAACAATTTGATTAAAAATTCTATCTTTAAATTTTTGATTGATTGAAAATAGTACTGAGACTAACACATTTTTTTTTTTTATATTTACCCTCAACTGCTTCGTAAATCGTTAAAATGTCAAGCGGAGCTTCATTCATCTTTAAAATTCCTATAGGAAATCGAATTATTGGTTAAACATTACACACTATTATTATTATTAATTATACATTAATTACTAAACATTTTTACAGATGACAAAAATTTTCAGCTTTATTGTAAGTCAAGTCAATTATTTTTAACACAACAATTTCATGGCTTAGTAACATAGAATAAGCAATCTAAATTTATTTGTCAATTTGCATAACGATAAGGTTGTGGCGAATTCTATCAAAATATATTTACATTAAAATAAAAATTAAATTTAGCTATAGTTTGTTGGGAAAACAATAGACCTAAGCCAAAAAAAAAGACGAAAGAGAAAGGAAGGCACGGTCTAAACAAAGTAGACAAAGCTCCTAATAAGTACGAGTCTTCGGAGAAAAATGAAACATGTAATGTGTACATTGTGACCGTTAGACATAACGATAATTAGAATTGTGGTTTATATTTTAGAAATTTACAAAAGTAATTCATTTACCACTAAATAATCAGCCTTAGGGCTTTTAAATATATACTCAGCCCCGAAGAATTTAATCAGCGGTGTCACTAATCAAACTTTAGAAGCTGTCAATTAAATTAAATTATGTTACATTCATTTACTGTATATAAGTAGTTGATAAATAGATCAATAATTATAGATTTATAATGTAATGACTAGTGATGCTGTAGAATTCAGGGCAGTGGGATAAGCCGTAACTAAGTTATAGCTGTAACTGGAGATGGGCAAATCTCTGTTTCTCCAAAAATCCTGCGCGTGATCCCGCGCGGGATTCATTAGACCACAAATTTTTCCAACCCTAATTTCACTTAATGGATGGCCAAGAATTCTTTACTAAAAATTCGAGTAATTTCGCCTAAATTTTTGGTTGTTGCCGTTGGTCAATCAAAATAGTGAATTTCCACGTATTTTTTGCAAGGTTTAATCACAGTAATTACATTAGGCACGTCATTGGTTAAAGTTTTCATCTGATCCAATTTTGTAAGATGATTCCAAATATAATTATTACTACGCATGCTATATTTATTATTAAGTCTTCGATTAAATCAATATTGGCAGTACTGTAGTCTTTACCATGATATCCGAATGACTTTAAACCTCAAATTAAAATCTTGTCACAGATAAAATTCCGAAAAAAACAAAATTTTATTAAAGAAAATTTCTAACGTACTACGAAATAAAAAATAAATAAATAAAACAAAACAAAAAATACAAAAAATAAATGGTTAAACCTATTTTAGAATTCTAATCATAAGCAACTTTTATGTCCTTTATATCATACTGGTCTTTAATTTTATTTAATAATCATTAGATGACTATTTCACTTTAACTCTCTTCACAAGATATATAAGCTTTACACTCACGACTTCATGTTATTAGCTTATATTATAGTCGGATTTCTTTGTTAGTTTGATTATGATAAATAAGTTTCATAAATTAAAGACAACATAAATTGGTAAGTTTAATTGATTTATTGTACCTATAGTCTAAACTTAAACGTGTAAATATACCTTTCATCTACCTTCTGAATTACTTTGATAAAGCAAAACGGGAGATTTCTAATTTTTTTTTGTCTTACCTCGTATTCATATTGCAGAATTCGTTTATTATTACGAGATGATCTTCAAAATTATCCAATAATCAGTGTATGAAATTTGGATTTAACTTTATGTTCTCACAAGAACACCTATATAATAAATTTGGAAATTTTTTATGTTCTCGCATAAGTGTAACCTAAAATTTTGGTGTTCTCGGAGAACATTGAGAACATTGAATTTCACACACTGCCAATGATAATAAAGCCCGCCTACCATACTGTTTTACGTTTATATGTTCTTGCAAATTTGATAACATTAATAAGAACAGGAGGAACCGTCAATGTTATCCTTCACCCGGTGTGCAACATGTTAATATTTTACAATACCAGATCATTCCGCTAGTACAAGTTATGATTATAATAAAATGGTGTGAGATTATAATCATAAGATGTACTACGGAATGATCTGGTATTGTAAAATATTTTTTTTTACACCAGGTGTGGACCATTATTCCATGGGAAATCTACACGATTTCCCTGATTTCCCTTTGATTTCCCTTATTCACAGAATCAGGAAATTTGGAAATCGTGCGATTTACTGCAATATAATGGTGCGCACCTGGTTGCACCTTTTGAAAACAGCTGTAATTATACATATTATAGGATCTTGTTACTTTAGACATATTAACTATGCATTTACCATGTCTAAACACTTTATTTGCAAAACTTTTGCTTCTGGTTTTATGCACAGATATCTAGTAAAATTTACTGTATAGTCGTGGTATATAGCACATTTACGTGTTAATTTAATCACCTGCACGTTAATTCCTGATACTCATGGCCGTTATTTTGAAACAAGGGGTAAAAATTTTGAGCTTAATATACTATATCGAATCTGCTAGCACATGTCGTACAAGGTGTGCGTTATTTCGAAACGCGTATGGGCGTTGTTTTGAACAAAATATAGCATTTTTAAGAAGAAGCGAGTTCGACATAACGCCCATGTGTGTTACTTGACTATGCGGTATAAAAAATTTATGGTTTTTTTTTTAAAAAAAACAGTCTTAAATATATACATTTTGAATTACATATTTTTATTTTAATAGCTTTAGACAAAATTGATATTAAAATTCAAAATTATATAATGACAAATAAATTTATACCTTTAAAGCATTAATATAAATGCTAATATGAGTAATAAATTTGCAGTTTAATGTTATTTAACAACAGGAACTTCAACAGAAGCAATAGGCCGACTCGCTAATACAATATATATAATTAGCTTTAATTAAATAAGAAATTATTAAAATTTGACAAAATTACCTTTAATTGCATCTGATATTCTTTGGGTGTCGATAATCTTGCTAGTGTACATAAAGTTGGGATGTTTCGGTGAGACAATGGGAAATTCTTCCGCTATTTTATCTGCTTTCAAGAATTGCTTTTTAATTTCATTTGTATCATCTGAACTTTTCATGATGCTATACCATTCGTAAAATTTATTATAAACATTCCAAGCATTAGGCCGCTTTTCTGGATCAGGATCCATACATTTTTTAGCAAATTCGATATAGAAATCTGGAGTTCCAGGAGTAAACTCTGGCCGTAATCCTTCGCAAATTTTTGTTGCGAGACAAATATTAAATTCATAACCATCAAAAGGTCTTTGTCCTGTTGACATTTCTGCCATGATGACTCCGAAGCCATAAATATCAGCATATTGTGTAAACTTTTGACCTGATAAAACCTCAGGTGCGACATAAGGCATGACACCATAAATACCACCTGAATCGTTTTCGTTATATTTTTTAGACAGTCCTAGGTCTGAGATGTAAGATTGCATATTTTCACTAATGCCTTTATCCTGCAAAATATTACCACTGTGAATGTCTGCATGAATATATCCTGCATTATGAATGTCCCATAAATTGTCAGAAATATCAAAAAGCAGTTTTAATTTAGTTTGCCAAGTAAGATCACGAAAATGTTTTCTTAAAAACTTATGAAGACTTCCATCATCAGCATATTGAAATACCATCAAATATTTTTTTGTTTCTGTATTTTGTGTCAAACCATATACTTTAAGCTTGTTACCCATAAATGTACATTTCATATGATTGTCAAACTGCATAAGTATATATACACGTATAGTCAGTTTAATATTTGTTTAATAAACCATACAATAAATGATTAACTTACTTCCTTTAAAAAATCTTGAGAATCATCCTTAGAACAAGTCAAAGTTTTAAGTGCAACCGTGTTGGATGATTCACGGATTCTCACATAGTTATAATTTTCATAAGTGTTGTCTCCACCATTATCACTGTCGTCATCAACAGTATTATCATTGTCAAATACACTGTTGTCATCATCTTCATCGACATCATCATCAGTTTTCTTAATTTCTTTGATCTTTCGAATACCATCCAACCAGATTGCTGAATATACAGAACCAAATGCACCTTCTCCAATTTTTTTAATATTATCTAGTCTATGAAATGGAATCCACTCAATCATATGTTCGTAACTATTAGTTCTAAGTTGAAACTCTTTCATGCAATTATCAATACCCTTGTATCCACTTGTCCATCCTTGAATTGCTATGTCAGGATCGCATGTCTGGCACCACGCTTTATTAGTGTTATATTCATTACAATGTGCACATTTACCATAATATAATTCTCTGTAGTTATCAATTTATTATATTAGTTATTTGCTTTATATACATCACTCTTTAATTTAAATGCAAATAATTTTATGCTCACCGACTAATTAATGCAAATAAAATGAATTATATTTACGAACTTGAATAACTTATTTTAAATACTAAATTAATAAATATTCGCTATACTCACGCACTGCAATATATTAAATGAAATTAAATAGTGTGATTCCGGAAATCGGCGAGTCTGTCGCTAAACTAATCCAACCCTCGCGTAACCTACGGCGGCTAAGTCGAAATA